AGTCTGAAAAAAAAAACTCATTCCCAGGAGGAGACAGAAAGCAAACTGAAAGGAATCCAGGATGAAACATTATCTCCTGCTGCTCCAGCTTCACATCGTGTAAAAAACCAGAAACACACATTTGCTCCAATTTACCCCCTTTATTTTCTTAGCCCATTTCAAACAAAATATTTACATTCAAAGTGAAAATTTATGTAATACCGATTTCTGTTGGTCTCTTTCATAATTAATTTTAATGATATTAAGCAGCTTCATTTCTGAACATGGTAATAATATATTTATCGATTTTCTGCTTGTGTATATAATAGAAACAGAATTTAATTATTATAAACAGTTTTGTATGTAAAACCACCCAAGCATAAGATTTAGGGTTACATTACCCACAGCAATTAGACTAACTGAAAAAGTTCATAATATTACATTAATTCTCAAAGAAACAAATTCACAACTCAAACAGAAAAATATACCAAATACTATAAGAACAATGTATGAAAACCCTGTAAGAAATGCACTAGATACTGAATTATTTAGAAGAATTTCAAATATATTTTTTCACTCAGCAAGTCACCAGAAATCCTCACCTGAGCGTAACAATGTAACTATTAATTATAACAGGTCAATTTGAAGTTGGTTTCCTGTAATAATAAATTACATGATGTTCTGTTACACTGTTTCATACGTTTATCAGCCACATTCATTGTTTCATTGCCCATCTTTCTGATTGCTGTTGCTTCATCCTTGATGCTCGTTACTGTAAGTCAGTGATCAGTGCATCTCACACACAGGGTCACACAGGCGTCCTCATCAGCAGGCTGTGCGGCATTTAAAGAGACGGATCATGATAAAAACAGACTGCAGTGACGCACAGTGACAGAGCAGAGCAGCTATAAGACAGCGGAGCTTTAACTGCTAATACAGTAAAGTTACAGAAAGAGAAATAAACCTGCATTAATGATCCTTCCTGACCGTCAGTCACTGATTCATTTTCTGATTAAATTTCTGACTGTTGCTGATTGTAAACTGCTAAAAGCTTAGTAAAGAATAGACAGTATATTGTATTGTGTGTGTGTGTGTGTGTGGGGGGGTTATCAGGTCTGCACATTCATCTCATATTCTCTCTGTTGCCTTCTGGCAGAGAAGGAGATGAACCTGAAACCAAAATCAGACAAAAAATGAGAAAAAAACATCCTGAATACAGCTGGAGGACAAATCAAAGTGAATAAACAAACTAATGTATACAGATGCTCAGTGCAAACATGTTATATAAAGTTCTAACAAAATAAAACTTCTGCAGGTATGACAATTTCAGATAATGACACCAATATTAAAATAGACGCATGGTTTTACCACAAAGTGGAGATATTCTGTAAATATAACATAGGTCTGGATTTAAGGAATAAACTGAAAATCACACATTTTAAATATGACATCACACAAACATCCAATTCTATACACTACTGATTATTAATGGTTCTTAATGACATTTTCATTCACTAACAGTTAACGTTTCAAAAACATTCTATTGAATAGATTCACAGCTGAAGTCCAGGCTGTATCTACAAGCATAAGCTCTGCTGTCATTGCAGCTTCAAACACAAATGACAAGTGACACTATCAGCTGTGTTCATGTGAGGGAGCCACAGGCCACATTCTGTGCAGTGAAGCCCCAGAACCACACAGAGCCGCCTGGGTCAGATCCAGAATAACCAGGGCGTTTGGCTTAACTGGGTAATATGCATTTGGACAGAACAGAGATTCAGAACCAGGCTGAAAAATCAGTGATGATAAAAATCAAATAAAGCTTCTTTTTCACCAAGGACCATCTCCGACATTTTCTTAAACTACAGCACATACACGGCTTATATGACAACAAAGGAATAATACAATATTTTAAATGAATGTGCTCTTAACATTGTAAATAACCTCTCAGAAGGTATGTTCCATGGTAACAGGACTTACTGTGACATCATGGAGGGTGAACTCATGCTTTTGGTTGCTGTTGGCTGGAGTTCTCAGAATCAGTGTCAGATGCTACAGTGAAAAACCACAAATAAAGTCACAGGGTTTGGTTATATTCTATACATACATACATACATACATACTAAAGGACTGCAGGCAATTTATTCAAGGTGATATTTCCACTTAAATCAATTTTAAATTTAAATGCTCTTTATACATATATTCAGTCTTGGCAACAGCAATACAGGGTAACAATACTCACTGCCGGCTTTGCCATAGCCTGAAACACAGAGGGACACAGAGTCAGACACAGGCACTCAGACTCTGCATCATTCGGGTGTCAGAGGCACCAGTATAATGACTGTGTGCAGTTACATGCTTTGAAACATGTCACTGGTGTTTCAGTTGGACACCATTGTTCTCTGTGTCTGTCGGCTTTTCTGTTACCTGTCCTGCTCCTCCTCCACAACACGAGCCCAATGACAACAGCAACGAGAGCCAGAGCAGCAGCCACACAGCCGATGATGATGCCCCAGGAAATGCCTCCTAAAATAAGGTTAAAGCACCATGTTCACCCCTGACAGTGACGCCCATTAGCTGCTCTCTCTCATTACTGTGTCGCTGCTCCTCTTACCCTGATTGGTCCTTATGTTCTTCTCCTCCAGCAGCACAGCAATGTCATCCTGGAGGCTCTTGTGCTGCACGACACAGCTGTAGCTGTTCATCTTCCAGTCCTCAGGCTTCACCGTGAGTTTCGATGTGATCTGGAATTTTCCGTCCCCGTTTGGCAGGGTCTCCCCCACCTCCACATCGCTGTGCATGTCCTCTCCATCTTTCCTCCAGGTCACCACGATCCCTTTGGGGAAGAAGCCGGTTGTGTGGCAGGTGACAGGAGAGGAGGGGTCCTTCTGCAGCAGAGACACCTCAGGGCGGACTTGGGGAGAAAGACAAAAACATCCATAAATAAAACACTACACTTCATCACCAGCAATCCCTCCTGTAAATGCATAATGTGATTAATATTCTACACATTGTAGCTATAAGCCTACATCAGGACAGGGACA